CATTTACTCTGTGACTCCTGAGGGACTGTCACCATGTAGGCTCAGTCTTTCCCCAGACCTTAGTAGTAAAACAAACTACCCATCTCAGCAACCAAGACTTTATCCTTATTCATTCCAAAGAGGGTTCTTTGTCAACAGACACTTAGCGTCAGAGAACTCCATATGGAAAGACCAGCTTTATCCGTAGTTACAGCTGCCGAAGCTTGCTGACAGAATATCTATGGACCCTGTTGGCTGACTACTTCTGAATTAGATTTAGTGTGTCTGTCCACATTTGAGAAATCAACCAGAGATTTTCCCTCAACCATACATGCGAGGAACTGCCTGGCTTGAAATGGCCTGACATCGTTAAAAGCTCACTAGATTCAGACAGGCAGCCTCTCTGGCACAGTGGACCCATACACTACTTTGCGGCTAAGTTAATGGCTTGGTTTCTGTTCATTCCAATCCTTTTGACTTTGATTAGCCACTTCCCTTCCCAGACCCTCAAGAAGATTTTCTGAAGCCAGAGGTTTGTCACAGACTTCTAACAAAATGTTAAAGGGTCAAAGGAACCAATCATTTCCAGCCCCAAGATTTCCAACTTGTTCAATAACACAGACATCTCTCCCATAATTGCCTCCAAGGAGGGAGTGCCAGCTACACACCCCACCCCACCATTTTATACAAGTTTGGATTTAGAAAAGCAAGACAGGGAGACATCAAGGTCAAAGGCACTAACAAGACACCAGATTGCTCTGGTACTAGGAGAAGGCAGAGCACTCACCCTCTGGTTCCCAGGGGCCCACACTTACCGTAATCACAGGTGGGCTGAACACTGGTGTCTGAGTACGTTGACTGCAAAGTGGTTTCAGATCCCTGGACAAAGCCTAAACATATGCACAGCATGGTTAATTTCCCCAAACAAGCCATCTGCCAATGACCTAAAAACTACCCTTTAGTACAGACTGGTAGGCCCTCCCCTCACTGGAAAGCCTAAACTCTAGCTTCTGAACACTTTAATTACACCCCAGAACATATTAACCAATGGAAAGGCAGGCTATGTTTAACTTGCTACACCAGAAGAATTGGATAAAAATTTTTAAATACTTTAAACCAGTAACTCAAATGAGTACCCAAATTACCATTCAGCTAAATGAGAAAACACTTGTATCAAACATCTAACCACTGATTGATTATTGCAGGTGAACCACCTTCAATTCAAACAAGGACAGCGTTATTTTTGAACAATGTGTAGACAAATAATACCCTTCCCCAAATCTAAAACCAAAACTGTTTTGTATTTTTAGTTTTTCAATAAAAATGTACACATTACAATTACCTCTTAAATGTAATTACTTGGGTTATAGCATGTTTAAATGGAACAAATATTATATATAATATACATATTATTTCCTATTTTCTCAACTCTCAAACTATATCACACCTTAAAATAAATTAGTACCAAGCAAGGAAAACTTGAATCTCTACCAGAAATACTGCTCTTAAATGCTTATTGTAACAGACTATAATGAGTCCTAATACTATCTTTAAAACTAGGTTGAAAAAAATTTTTTTAATGATTTACCCATAACACTGAAATTATGACAGATACCGTAAGAGGCAATATTTGCCTACTCCCATCAGAGCAAACTCATGCCCTAAAAATAAAAACCAGCACCTCCAATAACAAAAGCATACATCAAGTGCCTTTCTGGGGTGAGCATTCACGTATTTGTTGATGGTTTCTCTAGTTCATCTCTTAAAGACCCCAGCAACAAAGATAACAGCAACAGCAGCCAACACTGAACAAGTATTTTCCCCGAAGGGTGCTAAGAGCTTTCCCTGCATCCTTTCATTTTGTCCTCACCACAGCCAACAAAGGGGACAGGGCCAAGATCCCTTACCCTGCAATCCACAGTCCAAAAAGGTCTGCAAACCAAGTGTTCTCCTCAAATGTGGAACAACACTCATTTGGGGGCAGAAACTACCTGTGAGGACAATTATGGTCTTTCTTTACCCCACATCCTGGTGTGGGGGTTGTGGAATGTCCTCTCAAGCTAGAATTTTGCAAAAATGACTGAATATGACTTCTGAGACTTCCATCTTGTTCTCCCTTAGATCATTCACTCAAGGGAAAGCTAGCCACCATGTTGTGCCAGTGGTTCTCAACCTTCCTAATGCTGCGACCCTTTAATACAGTTCCTCATGTTGTGGTGACCCCCAACCATAAAATTATTTTCGTGGCTACTTCATAACTGTAATGTTGCTACTGTTATGAATCGTAATGTAAATATCTGATATGCTATATGTTTTCATTGTTCGCGACCCACAGGTTGAGAACCGCTGCTAGTAGGACTGTGGAGAGGTCCACCTGGTGAGGAACCAACAGCCGGCATCAACCTAAGCAGCCATGAGAGTTTAAGTCACCTGGGAGGTGAGTCCTTCCGCACAGTCAAGCCTTGAGACGACTACAGTCCAGACTAACATAAAAAATGTAACCTCATGAGATCCCAAGCCAGAACCATCCAGCGAAACTATCTGTGTATTCCTCACACACAATAACTGTGAGATAATAAAGGTTCCTATTAGAAAAATGGTATCATGTAAGACCTGATTCTGGATTTTTCTACCCTATGTTTCCATTGCTTTCATCTTTCCTCTCAGTGCCAGAGATGAAGACTCCTTTCCCAAGTACACACAAACTAAGTTCAAAACCTGGACAAGTTATCAGAAAGATAAATTATTTTAATCACATTCTATAAGTAAGAGGGGTAACATTTGCTTAGGCCTCCAGAACTTCTCCTTAAGGGCAAAATAGTTGTCTGAGATATGATTAAAATGCCTTTGACTTTAGCGGTCAGCTTTTTAAAAGTGAAAAACATAAAGCTATTGTGGTTTTCAGCTGATGAAGAGCAAGGAAAAACTAATAATTCCTCAGTAGCTTCACTAGCTCAGCACCCACTCAAACAGAATCAGAGCCTCCGAGATCTGGAGGTAAAATTCAGATGTGGCCATTAGTGACCTCTCCAACTCAGTGTCCTTGTCTGCAAATGTCAATGCTCCGTTAAGTTCCCCACAGCACCTACTCACTCATGTTCTGTTTCTTCAGCAGTCTTGACCCTAACCACACAGAACTGTCTTCCAGGTCACAATGAGATTTAGTGGAAAAGATTACATCTAAATTACAGAGATGTCAGTAACAACCCTACGGACTTTCCTCCTGAGCCGGGAAAGCTACCGAAATGCCAGGGCAGGGTCGCCCAATCCTGGCATCGCTGATTTCCAAGCCAGCTAATGCGGTGTGGCGGGGCCCATCGTGGGTACTGCACGATGCTTAGCAGCACTCCTGGTCTCCATACACCGGATGACAGGAGCACCCCTCCCACCAGACATGACAACCAAAAACATATCCAGATGCTGCCAAATGTCCCCTGGGCGACAGAATCGGTCCTGGATGAGAACCGCTGGGCCAAGGGGTGGCTGCTTGGGGTTCTTGCCAAGCTCCTGGCCTGGGTGCCAGAGGAGGGAGGCCCGGCAACACCTCCTTGCCAGGCCAACATAAAGCAGCCTACAAAAGAGCCCCAGAGGCTCAGGTTCCATTCTGAGCCCCCAACATTCCACAGCAGAATGCTGGTTACCAGGCAACCACACTGCTCAGCCTAATACTCCCCTCCAAGGGGGAGGCCTAGTCCAGGGCTCCTGGTTGAGCGGCCTCGGTGATTACCACCAGGACACACCCAGCTGTCCAGTTCATCCACAGATGTACAATTGCCATGCAAGCGCATCACAGCCCCCCATCTGAACTCAGCATCCACCCTCCCTTTTGCTCAAGGCCCACTGGCCTCCCTGGCAGAACATCTAAGGAAACAAGCATCTCCTAGCGGCTAGGACCTAGCCCCTGGGCCAGATATTCTTAATTCCCGTCCTCTATTCTGGCTTCTGCTCAAATGTCACCTCTTTAGCGGTCTCCAAGCACCCCACCTAATGGAACAACTCCCCGGGGTACTGCCCACCCCAGAATATCGCCCACATCCATTTGTTCGCTTGGGGTGGTCTGCCCCGCCCTGTAAGCTGCCTGAGGAATTCCTGCCGTATTCCAGCTGCCTATTCAGCACCTGACACGATGAATCTGACAGATGGTGAATGAATTACCATGGAAATGAGCCGTTCCAGGCAAGGCTCAGGCTCAGGCCCTCAGGACCCAAGGTACCCTGCTCAGTCCAAACCTCCCAAATATCTACTCCTCGCTCCGGGGCTGGCAAGGGGCAGGAGGAGCTGCGACATCTTACAGGGACACTGAGCGTGGGGGGTTGGGGGGCCGGTGAGGCAATGGCGACGGCAGCCGAGCCCGCTGACGGATCGCAAGGGCCGAAGCCCGAGAAAGGGCGACCAGAGGCGGCGAGGTCCGAAAAGGCCAGGCTAGGGGCGGAGGTGGTGGGAGAAAAGACCTCGGGCCCCGAGGCCGCCCGCGGACACAGGCGACAGAAGCCAAAATCTCGGGCGACAGAGAGCCAGAGCGCGAGGGTGCAAGCACCGAGCACCGAGGAGCCGAAGCTTGAGGGGCGCGAACCTGAGAGGACCGTCCGCGGCGCCATTTTGCGACCGCAGAGAGAGCGGTATCCAGGCCCCGGGGGAGGCGCGGGCGAGCCCGGCGCGGCCTCGGCACGTCCCCGTCCCTCCCCACCCGGCCTGACTCCCGACCCTGCCGGGCTCACCTGTGTAGCTCATGGCTGCGGCGTACACTGCGCCTGAAAACCCGGCAGATGCGCCGCACGTCAGACGCGGAGATTGCCGTGACAATCCCCCGGGCTCTTTCTACATATAACGGAGCCCCGCCTCCCGACCGCATTGGCTCACGCCCGGCTCCGACTTCACGTCTATTAGGCCACGATACTGTCTATTTCAGGGTATCCTCATACCAATGGCTGAGGCTGTTGCCAATCTCAGGAGAGCCCCGCCCTGCTCCCGCCTTTAGTTATTTCAAGCCTGCGGTGATTGGTTAAAAATAACCTGTAGAGTTCGAAGGGGCGGAGCTATGCGCTACGGAAAGCCCGTGGCTCAAGGGCGGCCGGGTCGGGGGAGGGTCTGTGACCTGGAGGCCCGTCAGAGGGAGCTGGGTTTACAGCGAAGGGCACCGCTGGAATTGCGGCTCTCCCGCCGCGGTGCTGTGCCAACAGGGGCTGTTTCTAACATCTCTGGCCTTCAGCTCCAAAATGAGCACGGTAAAGCCATATTGGAACGAAAATTACAACTAAGCGCCAAACGAGATGCTGGGCACAGGTTCAAATATATATATATAAAGCAATCACTCCAGTGCTGGGTGTACAAGTTGTTACGTTTTGTTATCAATGGTTACATAAAAATAACAAATATATTTGTATAACATGTTTATATTATATATGTAATAAATGTTTGTAATTTATTATCTGGAATGTTTCCTCACACCTGCAAAGACCTTGTTTTTTTGAATTCTCATTTAAAAGAAGAAAACAGAGACTTGGAATTCATGACTTGCTCAAAGTCCTTGATGCTTAAGTGTTAAAGCTGGAGTGACCCACTAAAATCTTCTTGGTCCTTCTGGACTTTAGATCCTGCAGTGGCCCAGCCAGGTTCCAGCCCTGTCCTCAGCACCCTGAATGGACATGTGCAATCCAGCGTCAGAGGCATCTCATGACTTCTAAGACATTACTTGGCAGAGCTGCAGACACTTAAAATGGTACTTAACATGTTTGTGAAAATTCATCAAGCTACACAAGTATGACTTGTACACTTTTCTGTCATAATTCAGATGGGGAAGAAGGGGTGAAGAGTTTATAACTGAAGAGATTGGTCATGAGTTAATAATCGATGAGTAGTTGAGGGCTCATTGTAGGTTTGGAATTCTCCATAAAATTTTAGTGAAACAACTCCTCCCACACACATACACAAATGGGGCTTCTGCAGAACTTGCTGTCATGTGGGGCAAGAAACGCCTTATGTAAAGCATGTGAAACTCTGATCAATGTGCATTCCAGCTTTGGGACTCGGCTTATTTGTGTCACCCTCAGGGATACCTGCCTGCCTGTCCTCCAAAGCAGTCCCCTGGACACTTCTCCTTCACAGCACATACCACAGCCGTCATTTTATCCTCACTTGATGATTTTGTTAATAAATTCAACCCTCTACCTCAGAGTGAGTCGAAATGACTTAAGGGATGTGCTCAGAAGTTTTAGGAAAAGATCCCTCTGTGGTAAGAACTATATGTGACCCATCCAAGTACTCACACAGCTATCCCTCCACAATTGTGGGTGAGAAAGGTCTTCCCATATTACTTTGCAAGTTCTTCCATCGTTTGAACTTTTTTTATATTCAGCTTATATCACTTTTATACTTTTTAAACTAATTTGTAAAAAAAATTAAAAAGTGCCTTTAGGTCAGCTCTCATCCAAGAGATACCCTCCCTGTTTCCAAAGCCTCAGATACACCCACCCACACTCGGGATAGACAGCAGTGGTGGAACCCTTCCTCCACCAGGCAAGGCATGTGTCCTGACCACAAGCAGAAAAGTCAAGCATGAAGGACAAGACCGCTCCTGTGGGTATGTTGCCATAGCTTCTTTGCCCCTTTCCCAGCCAGGTACATGGTGCGGGCTGGGGTAAAAGGGTTGGAGGCTGAAGAGGCTTCTTCTCTCTATACCCCATGAGGTCATTCCTGCTTTCCAGCCCTTGGTCATGAGTGAAAACGATGAGCTGAAAAACCACATGCAATAAACAAGAAGGAGCAGCCAACAAAATATCTTAAAATCTCAGAAATGTTCAATAAACATTTGCAGAGTGAGAAAATAAATAACATTGCAGAGGAGCCAACAGCTCGCTTTCTCCTTGTTACTGGGGTTCAGGGTGCATGTGTATCTCCCGACAGGTCGCATGTCTTGAAGGCAGGCCAGTCCCAGCTAAGAGGTCCTGACAGCTGTGCACTCCTCCCTCCCCCAGCGTCCCCCACCCCCTCGCTGGTCAGCTCCTGACTCCAAGAGCCCTTGGGCCTCAATCACTTCTCCGTCCTGGCTCCCTTCCTGGACCAGCTGCCCAGAGCCGTTTCCTCTCCTCTGCACACAGGAGCCTCGTCACCAGCTGGCCAGAGTCCACACCGGCCATGCCACTGAGGGCCAACAAGCTGGGAACTCGAGCTCATCCCCAGCTGGGTCTGGTTGGTTTGGTGGCCAAAGGGAAAACCCAGGACCTCCTGAGACTCTGGGTGGAGGCGGCTTGATCCCAGCCCCAGGTGCCAGCTGATGCCAGCCTGTCCACTTGACAGAAAAACACACGCTGGCCGCCTGCCCCGGGGTATTTCCAGAAGAGAAATTTAATCTAATTTACATACTTCTAGGTACATTGATAACCAAAATGTGGCCACTGAAAAAAGTTAAAAGATTGATCAGCTCCCAGTTTCTAGCTGGCCCAGGATCGCAAAATAAAAAGATCCACGTTCCTTATTCTCTACACAAAATGCGTTTTTAAAAAAGTGAAAGGTCTAAGGAGCTGTACATAGAAAGGAACAGTGAAAAGAGGGAGGGGATAGGAGTGGGGAGGAAAGTCCCACCCCACCCCTTCCAGGGCCCAGAGCCCCCAGAGGTTCTGGGGGGCCTGGACATGGCAGGAGGCAGCTGTCAGCTCTGAGCTCTTCCCAGCTGGGAAGGCCCCTCTGGGGGAGGGGGGGCGGCCAACAAGGATTTCCGTGGCATTGTGGGCTCAGTGGGGGCTCCCAGGCCTAAGTGGGCCCGCAGAGGGAGCGTACCTTCCCCTGAGCAAGCACCGTGGCATGATGTGTTCGTTTGACTTGGGAACTGGGGGGCTGGGGCAGATCCCGGGTCTCACGAGGTGTGTGCGTGCGTGCGTGCGTGCGTGCGTGCGTGTGTGTGTGTTCGCATGTGCATGTGTGATAGGATATTCACGGGGCAAGAGGGAACCAGTACAGGGGGTCTTTGGGGTCCTTGTAAATGGCCACAGATGGCAAACAAAGCCCCACCTGGCTACTAGACATTGGGGAGTGCTGGCCTTCCTCCCATGACCAGATCACCTGCCACCAGGGACCTGGCCGCTGCCCTGGCTGGATTGGGTAGGTGTGGCCTGAAGGAACACACCCTGGGTTTGGCCCCAGAGTCCTTGAGCTGGGGGAGGGGCGCCCTGGCTGTAGTGTGCCCGGCCCCCAAGGGTGCCGGTTTGAGGTTTTGGCTTGCTCCTTTGGGAACGGAAAAGAAAGAAGGAAGAGAGAGAGAGGAGGAGACCAAGGAGGAGTAGGAGACAGAGGTGGCACGAGAGAGATCTGGAATGCTTTTGTGTTAGGGTGCCTCTGCCGCCGCTGTCTGTGCTGGAGGGGCCTGGGGCTCCTCGGGCGGGGGGTCTGCTTTGGAGAAATTCATCTCCAGGATGTGCCGCTGTAAGTGCCGCACCCACTCCTCCTGGATGGAAAGAGGTCCCTGGAATTCCACCTCACAGAACCTGTGTGGGGGACAGAGAGAGGGAGGAGTGGCCAGTGCCCTGGCTATACCCTGAGTGTCCAACAAACCTGATGTTGCTCAATGTGGACAGAACCAGCTCAGGATTTGAGGGAAGGGAGCCCAGAAGCCAGATGTTCCCCAATGGACAGCTATCTCTACCCATCACGGGGTATTGGCCAGGTCCCCCGGAGCCCCATTTCTATGCTCAGGGCAGTCTGCTGGCTCAGGTGCTGGGTAGGGGTCATCTGGCTTCCAAGCACCTCCACCATCTGACTGTAGGCATGTGCCCTGATTGGAGAGAGCAAAGAAACAGATCCTTCCCTGCCAGGCTCTAGGAGAGAAGGATGAAGCTAGGGAAAGGAGGGTCAGACACTAACAAGCACCTACCCTGCTCATGCACCCTTCCCCAGCTCCCAGCCCTCACAGCCCCAAGGAAGGTCTCACAGCACATGGGCCCCAAACTCAAACTAGTGGCTGGAGAGACTTAGGTTTGAATCTTACTTCTGACTTGGCCTGTGTGGCCTGAGGAAGCCCTCTCACATCCCAGACTCCCAGTTTCCTGGCCTCTGACACTCACCTAGACTTTGGTATTAATAAACTAAGACCTATTTTTTCTTAATCAGGAAGACACTTTTTTGAGAGTTTACTGTGTTCTAGGCACAGTCTGAGGGCTTTATAAACATTCAACTCTTTTAATCCTCCTAACAAATCAATCAGGTAGGTCTGCTATTAACCCCATTGTATAGGTGGGAATATTGAGGCATGGAGCAGAAAGTCCTCGCCCAAGGTCACTAAGCTGCTAGGTGTCAGGGTCCCAGCCTCATGCTCTGGGGCATCTGTCTGTGAGGAGCCTTTAGCCTGGACCCAACCCACCCCAGGGCATTGTTGAGGTTCCCTCCCAGCCCTGAGCAGCTCCTGTCCTGTTCAGAGGCTCTGTATGGCCAAGCCCAGGCAGGTAGCCCCCCACCTTCCCTCCCTCTCCCAGGGGCCTCATACCTGCACTTGAGGGTATAGATGTTGCCGACGAACTTAACCAGTGATGTCTGGGGGGGACGAGGCACCAAGGAGGGGACTGGCCGGACCCGGGGTGGGGGTTGCCGCACCTCCTCCAGCTTCTGCTGCAGGTCATTGGCCTCCTCGCCCCCCCTGGCCGCAGAGGTATCTGCAGGGCGGGCTTGTCGGCGCTCAAATTCTGAAGAATGGGGAGGAGAGGGATGGGAGGTCAGCTGGAGGATGAGGACCCTGGGGAGGTTCCTCCTTCAGCAAGTGATGATCGATTACTGTGGGGGTTTGTAAGACGGGCAGCTGGTGCCTGGATGCTGCCTGGCCCTGGTGACAGGTGGGATGGCGGATGGATAAATGAATGGGTGAGCAACTGAGGAAGTGACTCCAAGACAGATGCACAGCTGAAAACCTGGGGGAACAGTGATGGACCCTGCTGGTGTCCATCGCCCTCATGACCCTCTGCCCCCAACACTCACTGTTGATGTTCTGCCGCTGGTGCTCCTCGGCTTTCACAGTGCCTGGTGGGCTGGCTGCCAAAGGCCGCTCACCACTGTCGGCTGCCCGGCCAGCCTCTGGCCCTGGCTCACCCCCAGCACTGCGGCCCACCACGGACAGGCCCCCAGGTGCCAGCCCCAGGTGTGGCCGCTTGTCGCTCTCGCGGCCATGGCCAGCGTTTCGGAACTTCTTGGTGAAGGGGCGGCCACCCTGGATGTAGCTGCGGTAGGCGCCCACCTTCTGGGGCCGGTGCTTGATCCACTCGCTCAGCGTCTCAATGGGTGAGCCATTCACGCACCACTCAGTCACACCGAACTGCCGCAGATGCGCCCGAGCATGGCTGGCCAGGGCCTTGCGGTTTTCGAAGTAAAGGCCACACAGCTCACAGCAGGCCTCGGTGGCTGCAGACAGAGGGGGCGCTGCTGAGCCCCAGAACCAAGGGAGCAAGGGTACCCAGAAGTTGCCGCCCAGGTCGGGAGACAGCCCCGCCTCCCACTGGGGCCTTGACCCCTGCTGGGGGTGGGCATGCGTGTGGCAGTGCCCGGCCATGCAGGCCCTGGCAGATGCCCTCCCAAGACCCTGCCACCCACTGCTTACAGGAGTGGGAGGTCTTCTCGTGAAGGGTCTTTGCCTTGAAGGGCAGTTCAGTCTGGATGTAGGTCTTGGCCTTGACCTCTGCAGAGAGGAAGCGATCCTCCTGCAGGGGTCGCTTGGCTGCCACTGAGCCCAGGTAGCTGGTGGCTGAGGGCTTGGCACCGGTGATGGGTGCCAGGTTGAGCTCACGGGGTACCTGGGCCAGCCCAGCTCCTGGTTTGCCTGGCCGGCCAGCCATTGGCACCAGCGGCAGGAGGGGCTGCACAGACCCAGGAACCGCTGTAGGGGGCCCATCCTCAACCAAGGCAGGGGCCAGGTCTCCAGCTGGAGGCTCCTTCTTGATGAGGCACGGCTTAGACTTCTTCTTAAGGATCTCCCGAAGCGTGTCGATGGGTGAGCCATTGACGGACCACTCAGTCACACCCATCTGTCGCAGGTGGGAGCGTGCGTGGCTGGACAGGCCTTTTCGGTTCTCAAAGAACTCACCACAGAACTCACAGCGGATGTCACGCACTGGCTCTGCCCGTGATGCTGAATGGGGTGGGGGAAGAGAGGAAAGAGAGAGGTGGCTACTGGTAGGAAGCCTTCAAGCTTAAGGCCAGTGTTAACTGCCCTGCTGACCCATCCATGCAGTCCCACACCCGAAGGACCTGCTCCCTCATCTTCCTCCAGGGGCCTTGGTGTACATCTAGTCCTTCTGCTTGTTCTGTCACCTCAAAGTCTAGCTGGCTTCCAGAAGATTCCCTGGGACATGGTGATATGTTAAGGAGCAAGCACTCCTTTGATCCAGGGTTCAGATGCCAGGATGACTGTGACCCAGTGTGATCCTGGGTAAGCCAGTTGCCCGCTGAGCCTGTTTCCTCCTCTGCAAAATGGAGATGAAAACTTCCACCTCCCAGTGTTACTGGGATGTGGATGGCCTAAGGCGGGAGCAGGTGAGAGCATGTGGCACCAAGCAGCATGAAATCACTGTGCTAGGGCCTAGGGCTGGGCCATCCTCACCTGTTGGGCATGCAGTAAGAGCTCAGCCAATCTGACAGTGCGAGAAACAAGTAAATGACAGGGCATCACAACTACTGCATACGCAGC